CACCTAGACACGAGTCGAAGGTTTGGTAGCTGTGCTCTAAGGGCTGAAATGGTTAACGTGAAATAAAGTCCACCTCTATGACAATGACAAATATACAGTACAGGTGAAAGAAGACGCTGGTTTCAACAAGTGTCCCCCCCCCCGCCCCTCCCTCCCTCTCCACTGAAATCAGAAAGGAAGTGCAAATTCTCTCAGAAGGCACAGTCTGGCATGAATTGGCACAGTCTAGTTCGGTTCGGTCTGGCATGAATTGGCACAGTCTAGTTTCGGTTCAGTTCAGTTCAGTTCAGCTATAGAGAGTTTTGGCCTCTCAAGACCTGGTGTTTTACCAGGCTGACTTGGACAGGTCACAGTTCATGTCTGCTGCTGTCTGAGGCTCTCCAGCAGGATTTGTTTGTGTGCAGGATCGCGCACCCCCGCCTCCTCCAGGTCCTCCTCTGTGATGTCACTGCATAAACAGGAGAAGAAGAAGAGAAGACGTAAGATGGCATTGCAGAAGTTAGGGATTTAAGTGGAGCTGTCGATCAATGGAAAAGTTTATTTTTACATACTGTAAACAACCTGTTTTGCTCTATGCAAACGTCTGTTTACTGTTATTATCAACAATTGGGAACAAGTACGATCGTATACTTGGTAGTGTATACTTTGAAAAGGGGAAGAATTTCCTATTAATGCTTTGCGGTTTACTATCAGGTCTTCCATTAGGTATCTACACCACGCCACCGTGGCCCACTACTGGGGCAGCGGTGGCCTAAGGAAACAGCGGCGGTCAAGGAAACGAACACGAGTCCAGAAGGTTTCGTGTTCGAGTCCTCAGCATGGCACCGTCTCCGGGTGTTTGACCTGCCCGTAGATTCAACAGCTCACAACGTTGCGTTGCGTTACCTGAGGAATTCCAGGTCGTCCCAGCCGTTGTGCAGAAGCCCCTGCTCGTAGCGCTCTAGTCCCAGTCTCTGCAGCCACTCTCCCACTGACGATTCACCAACAGACAAGGACGAACTGCTGCTGGCCCAGAGTGCCTGCCCACAGGAAGTGAAGGGTCATTCACCATTCCGGGAGCTTAAAAAAAAAAGTGTTGATGAACGTGGTCATGTAGTGAGAAAAACAAAGAGCCACCCACCTCCTCAGGCATGTCCTCCGCTATACTCTCGGGGATTGGATTCCTGGGTGGGAAAGTGCGGCAGGCGTCCAGACCTAGACCCATGGGCTGCACCCTTAGAGGCGGTGGTGCTGATGGAGCGCGTGGGGGCTGACCAGAGAACTCGCTCTCACTCAGTGTCTTTGCCATCTGCAGCACAGAACATGACTGATCCTTAAATGCTCCTCCTCCTCCTCCTCCGCCTCCTCCGCCTCTCTTGAATCCCTCCCCAAGTCCAGGAGGAGGACCAGGGGTAACCGATGGGATCCTGACCTCAGCCAGGTCTGGGTACAGAGGACGTGGCTTTGGGAATGGGGGCTCAGTACCCATCTCCAGTGCTCCTTTAGGGAGAGGGGGAGGAGGGAAGTCAGGAGGGGGTCGATTTAAGCTGCTCCCCACTGTTCTTTCGATGCCTCCAGCCTGTGCCCCTGGCACACAGGGGCCTCCATCGTCTTCTGAGGAGCCTTCCTCGCTGATAGCATGAACCGGATGTCCTGAGATGTGTCTGCGAGGGTGGGAGGGCCCCGAGGCTGCACAGGGGGGTTTGGTTCGGGCCCCAGCTGAGGGAAGAGCAGCTTTGGCCGCCTGGGGGTTTGTGGAGGTAGGTGATGGTAGAAGTTCAGGCGAGAGAGCGGCTGCTGACTGGTTAGGAACACCCTCCAAGATGTAGTAGGCCGGGTTGTTGTAGCTGTTCTTGCTGATGGATGAATCGCCGTCAGTCGAGTCCTGTTTAGGTCTGTGTGACAAATGGAGGTTTCACGTTAAACAAGATGCATGTGTACATTTGTGTGTATATGTGTGCATACCTAATATATAGAATAATTCTGGAGACTTTTTTTTTTTTGGAAAATGTAGGGTCAGATAAGTAGATTAAGAATTTAAATTAATTTTATATTTGCAGGGATTAAGTTGAGATTGAGGGACAAGGGAATGCATTATTGGTATGAGAATCGCCCAAAAATCTGTGTTTGTGTGGACCTGAATGTTTTTCCATACCTCGCAGCAGTTTCCTCCTTGCTGCTCCTTTCTCCTTCCTCACTGACCTTACCCAGCTCTCCCAGCTGTTTACGAACCGCAGATGGTCTGCATGTGCAAAACAATAGAAGACGTGAGAGAACAGGAAATGGCAAGGAAACATTAAAAAAAACGAAACACAATCAAACATAAAAAAAAGTGTCGAACGCAGTCAGCCTGAATAGATACTGTACAGAATTGCTGATACCATTACTCGAAATGCAATAAAATATATTTTAATTATTTTCATGGTTAAAAACAAAAATCTTTAAGGTAGTAACTAAAATGCAAGTTTGGCTTTTTGCGTTTTTAAATCATGTGAAGACGAGGAAGAGCCATTTACTCACTTGACATATTCATGTCCCACCCTGGATACCACACTGGATTTCCCTTTAGGTCCACCTGTCTCGTCTTTGTCCACACTGATCCACTCTGGAACACAACAGCAATTCATAAATAATACAGAAGCGTATCAGTGGGTAAGGAGTTTAAATTTCAGTTGGAGGATTAGGGTTAAAGTTCTGCCTTTCCAGACTAGGAATAGACCAGATTAGGTAACACCGTGTTTTGGTATCAGTGGCAGAGATGTCAAAATGAATGTGTTAATGGATTTGTGAAATAAATTACTGTTAATCAATGGTTCAAATGTTTAACACGTGGGTTACTGTTAATCAATGGTTCAAATGTTTTCCACGTGGGCAGAATGACATGGATTTTTTCAATATACAAAACCTCGCATTTGTCATATTTAGGAATGTGATCATTACTAACCATGTTTGTGTACCGGTATCCACCATCGACAATTTACATGTTCGTTATTTTCACACTGACAGCCGCTAGGGGGCACTCTAGCTGCAACTTATAAATGTTTTTTTTTTTTCTTCATTATGCATTTTCTGCCTGGTGTGACTTATACTCCGGAGCGACTTATACTCAGGAAAATAAGGTATTTGGAATCTTTACTGAATACCTTATTTATATTCTCCTCCTTTGGACATTAAGAGGGCTTTACCGTAAAGTCTCTCCCTTGTTCCCATCCTTTCTGAGGGCACTCTGACCCTCATGGACCCCCTGATATTTCCCGTCTCCTCGCCACGGTGCGATAGATAGGTGTGAAACTGCTGTGCTGTGCTGCCAATCATAGACTTCAGAGCCAACACGCACTCTCCTGGGAGAGGGGGGTTAAAAAACACAGAGATGTGGTTGGTTGTTTTCAGTCTAAAGGAAACGTCTTCACAAGCCACAGAGCAGAACGTGATCACTTTCATACCGTAGGACTCGTATCCATCCACAGACTTCACAGTTAGCAGCAAGTGTTGGTCCTGAAGATACTCGATCTCTGACAGGAGAGGCTTGAGCGTGGTCAGCTGTTTGTTGGACCAGCCCACACGCAGGAAGTTGATGTTATCGCTGCTTTGAGTATCGTTCTCGTAGCTCTTCTTAAACTC